CTCTCAGCTTGCGAAATGCTGAGTATGTTCTTCCCTTTAAGTTTTCTAACTCCAAGTCCTTACATATTTCATCATAGTATTTGACTTTGTCTTCTCGAACTGCGTCTTTTACCTCCACATTTCTTTCATTTGGTTTAGCAGCTCTATGCTGGAGAGCAAGTTTTAGGATCTCTTTTAACATCCATTTTGTCCTTTCCTTTCTTTCTTGTTCTTTCAATGACCTTTTGCTTTCTTCCTCTATGATGCTCTTGATGTCATCCGACAACTCTTCTGGTCTTTGGTCATTAGTGTCTAATGCCTCGAATCTGTTCTTGAGATGATCTCTAAACTCAGGTAGCATTTCCATGAGTGTTTGTAAATTCTGTGAGATGTTGCAGCAGATTATGGAACCCTAAAGAGAGGATGTTGTTAGAGATAAAGAAAGTGAATAAGCAGTTTGGAAATGTTGGACATTTGGGACATCTTTAGCATCCACCTCAGCCTTGTACTGATCCTTCTAGAAAATTGACTCGTGCCCACGCCATCCTCACAATTCTTGCGCTGTTTGAACCCACTGTAGCAGCCCTATGTCACGTCACCTCATTGAAGGCTTTTCTGGTTTTCGCTGGTTCTCTACTTTATCAACCATGAGGAATGTGAGACAGAATCTTGCATCCTTGCTTTTGTGAGACATTCTGGCTGTACTTTCAAGATGAATTTCTTAGACGGCACTTTGTATTGTATTTCATTGGGAAGTTCACAAAAAAGGTGGGGAACAAAACCTGAATATAGGCAACCTTGATTTTGTTCTTGATTTTTACTAAAGTTGTCTTTTATATTCATTTTTTGTAAATTTGATTGTTGTGAAAATATACACAGCAGAACATCATGATTCATTTTTATTTTGAACATGATTTTCCTAAGTACATAATTTGTTACAGAAGATTCTATGCTCATTGAAATCCAGTAAAAATTAGTATCATTCTACCAATTTTTTAAATTTTGGCTTTGCTTTCTAAACTACCTCATGAAATGGATTTGGTGCTAGGTAATAGGTCGTCTTAGTCCTTCGTGGGTTGGAGCTGAGTGACCTTATAGATCCTTTACCTGTCTCTATCCCTGAATTCTCTGTCCTTACAGGAGGCAAGATCCCAATGCATTTGAAGACTGTTACACAAACAGGAGGACCTGAGAAGGTTTTCAGCTCGCATATCTGGGAGCAAATCGCAAGTGACTTAACCAGTTGTCAAGATTTCGTGATAAATAAGCCACAGTTTTACAAGCAAGGTGACTCACCCTCTCTGGTTGCAGGACTATCGATTGTTATTCCCAATGGAGAGAAAACTCACGAATGTGATGAGTGTACAAAAATCTCCAAATGTATCTCCAGCTTTGATCTTCTTCGGTGTGCACACTCAGGAGAGAAGTCTCACACGTGTAGTAAGTGTGGGAAAAGCTTCATTAATGTGTCAGGTCTTCCTGACTACCAGAGAAATTACATAGGAAAGAAGTACTATATGTGTGATGAGTACGATCAGGAAATTCGCGACAGCTCACCTCTGCAATGTCATCTGAACGACCATGCTGTAGAGAAAGTGCACAAATGTGAGGAATGTGGGAAACGCTTCAAGCATAGAGCAACGCTCAAAGTTCATTGCAAAGGCCACACAAGAGTGAAGCCTTTTCACTGTGAGGAGTGTGGGAAGGCCTTCGGTCATAGAGCAGATCTTCAGATTCATTATAGAATCCACACAGGAGACAAACTGTATAATTATGGGAAGAATTTCCGGGTCGCCTTACAGTTCCTGCCCCGTCAGAAAGCACACATTGGAGAGAAACCATTCAAATGTGAGGACTGTGTGAAGTACTTCAGTAGTAGATCAAAACTTCAAATCCATCGTAGAATCCACACAGGAGAGAAATCCTATAGTTGTGAGGAGTGTGGAAAGGGTTTCAGGCAGGCTGCACATTTAATGACCCATCAGCTTGTCCACAGCGGAGAAAAGCCCTTCGTGTGTGAGGAGTGTGGAAAGTACTTCCGCAGTAAACCAATACTTCAGGTTCATTACAGAATCCACACAGGAGAGAAACCGTACAAATGCGAGGCGTGTGGGAAGGGCTTTAGGCAGGCCTCACATCTTTTTTCCCATCAAAGAGTCCACAGTGGAGAAAAACCATTCAAATGTGAAGACTGTGGGAAGTACTTCAGTAGTAGATCAAATCTTCACACTCATTATAGAATCCACACAGGAGAGAAACCCTATAATTGTGAGGAGTGTGGGAAAGGCTTCAGGGTTGCATCACAACTTTCAGCCCATCAGAGAGTCCACAGTGGAGAGAGGCCATTTAAATGTGAAGAGTGTGGGAAGTACTTTAGAACTCGAGGCTATCTTCAAATGCACTGCAGGCTCCACACAGGAGAGAGACCTTACAATTGTGAGGAGTGTGGGAAAGGCTTCAAGCAAGCGGCACATCTTTTGACCCATCAGAGAGTTCACAGTGGAGAGAAACCCTTCAAATGCAAAGAGTGTGGAAAAAGCTTCTGTCAGATTTCTCACCTTCAGGCCCATCAAAGAGTCCATAAGGAAGATAAGCCATATAAATGCGGACAATGTGGAAAGGCCTTCAAATGGAGCTTGAATCTTGACATGCATCAGAGGGTCCACACAGGAGAGAAACCTTATAAGTGTGGGGAGTGTGGGAAATACTTCAGTTACGCATCAAGTCTTCAGCATCATGAACGTGTTCACACTGGAGAGAAACCGTACAGATGTGGTGTGTGCAATAAAGTCTTCACTCGTTCTTCACAGCTGTATTCCCACCGGAGAGTCCATACTGGAAAGATAGGGTAGTAGAAAAAAAACACACAAAAAAGATAGGGTCGTGGTATGAAATTGGTGTTAAGAGCTTTGGTTGGAGACCAAGTCTTACACATCACAAAATCCAAGCTGCTGGTAAATTTTCTGAAGGTGATTTATTGGTATTAACATCAAAGTATCCATACAGGCAACAATTCAACAAATTGAAAAAAATTTAAACTTACGTGCAGCCTGGGTGGTTGTAATCATCAGATATCAGGGGGAAAAAAGAAAATTAATGAAATCATCCTCCAAGCTCACATGGGGGGAACCTTTAAAAGTGGTGTGTTAATAGCTCCCATCAGAAATTAGAATTTACCAGCTAATATGGTGCTGGGGGTTAATGCGCTGGACTGCAAAGTCAGTTTGAACCACAAGGTCGGTGGTTCAAGCTCACCAGCCACTCCTTGGAAAACCTATACAGGGATGCTATGGGTCAGAACAGACTCAACGGCACTTAACAACAACTCAAGCGCTTAAGTCTTGGGAAAAGTAAGAGTTTGATCTTAACCTTTAATGAAAGTATAATGATGGGCATACATCTACAAGAATGTAAGTTCCCTGAGGTCGAAACTGTGCTGAATCTTTGCAGGTATTCTCAATGATGATTTGTTAAATAAATTGAAAAGAGACCATGTACAATATTATAAATTTTTTATCTAGAAAAATACTAATAAAAATTATTGTTCAAAGAAATACTAGTTTAAATGTGGTTGCTGAATACGGTCATCTGCGGTATGGATAGGTGAGTGCTCCCTTGTGAAAGAGGCCAGTCGGCACAGTGGTTTAGCTACTCGAGGGGGAAGGTTGGAGGTTCGAAGCCAGCACTGATCTGTGGGAGGAACAGTCCCACTCAGTCCTATTGCTTTGGTAGGAAGTAGAATCTCTTCAGTGGCACAAAACCAATTTATGGTACTTGACGTCTGTTCTCTCCACTGCCTGTTTTCATGTGGGATCTTAACTATTTAGGGTGCTTTACTATTAAGTCAATGATAACAGTACAAATCGAACTACATGTTATGGTTTTTTGTGGCGATGTAGACTGATAGTTATTACCCTTGCAACAAATCCCTTCCATATTAAAAAACTAAATAGGGTCATCAGTGATGTTTTAAGGCAGGACTTTTCCATACATTTTGAAAGTGCCAGAAATAGTTGTCCATAATAATGGTATGATGTTAGGCCACGTCTCCTAGCTAAAGGACGAGGACAGTCCTTCATCCTTAGCCCAAAGCTGATTTGTAGAAGGTGAACATCAGGCATGCCTCTACATTCCAACCTTTTGACTGATTCTGATATCAGCCGTCCCTGTAAGGTTAAAAAATAAACAAATATGACTGTCAAATCAGTAATGTCACTGAATTTCTTCAAATGGAAATCGGTGTTCATCGATGGGAATTTGAGTTTTGAACATTTGCGTAATACCTTGAAACCATTAAAGTGTAGGGATGGATACAGAAAGAGAGCCAAGCCCGACAGATTCAAACATTCACATTATCATCAGACTCATAAACGTGTGTGTGTG